CCTTGGCACCCGGCTCCTCGACGTCGACCACGGTCAGGCCGCCGTCTCCCAACGGGCCTTCTCCAGGCCTTGACCTGCCCGAGAACGCGACCCACTGCGGTCCAGCCGCCCGCTGTGCTCGAACGCGCAGGACCATGTGGTCGCTCGGGTCCGTCTCCTCGCTCGGGGCGGGGCTGGCGCTCTGCGGCAGAGGCGCCCTTGGGGAAAGTGAAGCCTCGAACCGAACGCTGGCGGGCGGGGCCCGCGGCGCTGGCGACGCCTCGCGGGGGGAAGGGCTTACTGGTGCTTGCCCACGGCGAACCTCGGACGCTCTGCTGCCTTCTGCGGGAGTCGCCGCTGCCGCGGGAGCCCCTGGCTCGCGCGCCCGCGGGCTGCGGCTGCGGGCGACTCGACGCCTCAAGCCCGAGAAGAGCCCGCGGCTGGGCGCGACGGCGGTGGCCTGCGCTGCCCTGCCAGCCCCCCCACCTAGGTGCAGGAGGCAAAGCGGTGCACCTTCGGCGTTGCCAACGGCCTGGCGGTAGCAGGTCACCTGGGAGCACTTGTCGCGGTACCTGGAGGCCCTGTAGACCTGCGAATGATGGGCACAGAGGTGGGCGAAGGAGTTCCTCCCGTCGCTGGGCGGCGGAAGGTCGGAGGCCTGGCCGTCTTCCCTAAGCAGAGTGGCTGGCTCGGCCTCCGCGGCGCCCCGGCAGCCGTCGGGGGCCAGGGGGCGGGCGCCTCCACGGAGCACGGTCCCCACCCGGGCCGCCTCGCACGGCTTGTCCTCGGCCTCCACCTCTGACTCGGATTCCTGATCAAGAACCTTTGCGACACTTCCTGCAACGCCTGGCTCCGCAGCGCCTGTCTTGCGACGGCGGCGTCGCCGGCAGCAGAAAGAGCAGCCGCAGGACAAGAGGCAGCACATGAACACGATGACTCGCCACGCGCCGCGCCCAAGGTCCGTGAAAGCCCGCCAGAGCAGGGAGATGCCTCGGCAGGAGGTGAACTTGGCATGGGAGCCGATGTCCACGATCGCCTCGGAGTCCAGCGCTGCGTACTCCTTGCAGTGGATCTCCCTGGGCCGGTCCCGGCAGGCCATGTTGCGGCAAAGGTGGATCGCGCGGCCCTCGAGCGTCTCCAGCTTCTGGCGAAGCGCGCGAGAACTGGCCCCCTTCACGCTCAGGTAGTCCACCCAGAGGCCGGTCCGGTCGATCCTCTTGGGCTCGGCGAGGTCGATCCGCACCCGCGCGACGTGGTCGTCAATTTTGACCAACGCGTCGTTCGGCCTCCTCCCCGCCCCACGGCTTTTCACGTTCTTGTTGTAGTACTCGGTGGTCGTGGCGGGTCCGGTCTCTGGCCCCATCCAATGGATCTGGGTAAGGGCAGGCGGAGCCGGCGGCAGGTACCTATCGGCAGCTGCATCGCCAGGCTCTCGCCGGCGGCACTTGAAGCACCGCGCCAGAAGACCGATCAGCCAGAGAGCTGCCGCGCAGGGGGCCAGCAGCGCCCGGCAGATGTAGGTGAAGAAAGCGAGCGCCGCGAGAAAGGCCAGGGAGATAAACGTCCACGCCGCCGCCGGCCAGGCGGCCCCGAAGACCGCCAGGCCCAGCTTCTCGAGGCCGTAGAAGAACCAGCCGCCCTCCGTGGTCAGCCAGCCCGTCTCGGCGCGGGTCGAGAAGGCGCTCCCGAGGCTGGCCGCCCACGCCGCTCATGCGCCAGGCCCAGATACCCTCGCCCAAAGGTTTCCAGCCCAGCACCCAGACGCCCCAGCCGCCGATCCAGGACTCCTCGCCGCTGGCGCCGCCGGTGGCGTTGCTGATGTTGCTGACTCCTCCGGCGGCATGGGTGGGGGGCCGAGGGGGCGCGCCCGGCGGCCCGCTGTCGGGCGGCGCCTGGGTGCTACCAGCAGCCTCGCCTCCTTCCTCCTGCTCGCCGGTCTCCGCGTCGTACTCGGAGTCGTCGTAGTACGGCACGGTGCGCTCCTGCGGGGCCTCGCCGGCTTCGGCCGGGCCGGCCAACCCGGCTCTGGCCGCCGCAGTGCCGAGCGGCCCGCGCCAGTTGCACGCAGCCGCGCTGGGCCCCAAGGTTGCCCAGCCCGCTGCCAGCGCAAGCATCCCGCGCGCTGGGCCCGCCGGCGCGGAGCGCCAGGCGGACATCGCGCGCGCGGTTTCCGAGCGCCCCGGGGGCGCCCAGGCTTCCTGCTCCAGGGCTTCGAGCCCCGAAGGCTTGAGCGGGAGGGAAAGGGGGAGAGAGAGCAGCAGAGCCAGGGGCAGGGAAAGAGAGGAAACCCAAGCCGACTGGGGAGGGCGGGGTCCAAAAGTTTAGGTCAAACAACTAAGTCTAGGAGCCGCATGCTTCGCTCCCCATCCTGGCTCGCCCTGCAGGCGCGAGCTTGGCCAGGTCCGACGCGTTGATCGTGGAGGTGTGGCCGGCGGCGCACGATGCACTCACGTGGGCCTTGGGCCTGTCGCCTGGAGGCAAGGCGCATGGCGGCGCAAAGCACAAGTGCACCAGGCCGATCCCGTCGGCATCTCGCGTAGCCTCCAGGTCGGTATCGAGGTGCCGGTGCGAGCTGCCCTTGACCTCCTTGAAGCGGCGGACGTACCCATGGCGGGTGATGCGGCTGCCCTTGATGGCCCCCTGCCCCGGCCGTGCAACCGCCCCGCCCGACTTGGTGATGAGGTCGTTGGGCGCCATGTTATCCGAGCTGCCTCCCCGCGCCCCCACCTCGTCCCCGGACGCGCCAGGTCAGAGCAGCACCTGGCTTGCCGTCAAAGGCGACCTGCACGCCGCGGCCCCTCTCGCTGCCTTCGACGAAGCCGTGCGCAGTCGTGAAGACGAACTCGCTGTACGTCCAAGCCGTGCGCAAGACCCAAGATACGAGGCTGATCATTGAGCCGAGACAGGCGATCACCCCACCTGCAGCCACGCTCAAGGCGAGCCATTGGAGCCCGCCCACCAGCGGCCGCAAATGTACTCACCCATAGCGTTCACCATGCCCATGAGGAAAGCGATCACCTGGTGGAGCATAGCACCCAGCGCGTGGCCGACCTTCTCGCCCAGCCACTTGAGCGCTGCCTCGAACCATGCGCTGGCGAAGGCGAGCCCGCCTGGCTCGGCGTTGACCACTCCTGGGATGGCGTCGTAAGGGCGGTCTGGGGGTGGGGGCGCATCCGCGGCGGCCACGCCCTCGCCTCCTCCGGCTGGCGGCTCCTCTGGCGGTGGCGGCGGCGCCGACGCATGCTGTGCACGGGTGGTTGCCAGCCGACCGAGGCACAGCCGCGGTCGGGCGCCCCCGTGGTGCGGGCGGCTGCTGCTCGCCCGTCCGAGGTCGCCCCGACTCCCTCGGTGTCGCCTTCTCCTCTGGCAGCGATCCGACCACTTCTGGCGCCACGGGGCGCTCAGCCGGGGGCAGGCTCGGCGCCACCCCGTCCTCGTAGTAGCACGCGACGTGGTAGTACTCCCCGTAGCTGGTGGCGCGCCCACCCGAACCGGCCATGGCTGGCGGCGGGCTCGTGGTCGGGGGTGCCTCAAGCCGCGGCGCCGCCGCCTCCTCAGGCTGTTCCGTCCCTGCGGGCAGCACGGGGTCGGCTGGCTGGCCTTCCACAGCACTCTCTGCGCAGCTCACACCGTAGCAGGAATGCGCCTCGAACTCGGTGCGACTCTCGTGCGCCTCCTCCGAGCTGGCGTCGCTCGCGGCGCCTGGCTCCTCCTGCGCGTGGCACTCGCTCGGCCCTGGCGCGTAGCTGGCGGAAGCCGAGAAGGCAGCCGACAGCCCCACGCCCAGGGACGCATCTAGCCACCCGAACGTGGTCACCAGCGCGGTGGAGGTGATGCGCTCGAGGGAGACGTGCCGCATTGCTGGCACCCCCTCTCTGCCTCTTCCTCCTTCACGCCGCGGGCGCCCTGCCGAGGCGTCCGCCGCGGGCCGCGGGGCTCCCCTCCGGAGCCCCCGCCCGCACTGGAGGGGGGACCTGGCCCAGCCACTACCCAGCACTCCTCAGACTGCTTGGCTGCGCCGCAGGCCCGCCCACCCCAAAAAGAAATCTGGGCACCGCAGGCACCCTTGAGCAGCGAGGAGAGAAGAAGGACGAGCAGAGGGGAGGCTGCGAGAGGTGGGGAAACCTGCTGCTCTAACGAACGTCTAAATAATTACGTTGAGTGGGCTAATGGGGGTGATGCAGAAGGCGGCGGGCGGTGCAGGCAGCAGAGTGTGGCTGGGGAACGCGATGTGGGGAGGAGTGGTGGGTGAGATGTCATATGCTTTTCTCGATCAGAAAGGCGTGCCAACACGGAAAGCAGAGCGACAGCACAATCGTGGGTGAAATGGCCACGAATCTAGTATTTGCCGACAGTGTGGCGATGACCCTCTAAGGCCATCTTGGGCCCCTTTTGAGGCAGTTTTGGGCAGCTTGGGGCTCTCTTGGGGCTGTTGTGGTCCTTCTAGGGGCCCTTGGACAGTCTTGGGGCCAGTTTGAACAGGTTATTGGGCCATGTTAGGGCCCTATGTGACCCTCTTGAGGCCATCTTGGAAGCCTCTAGTACCGTCTTGAGCTGAAAGAAGCCTGGAAAAGCGGAGGCGCGACAACGTTTAAATCGCACGAGCGGGAACAGTCATTTTGGCTTCTTCGAGCCCTATTGGGGGTTCTCTTATGGAGCTCTTGGGCTGTCTTGGGAGCCCCTTGGTCTTTTTGAGGACATCTTGAGTCATCTTGGCGGCCTTGATGGCCTGTCTCGGCCGTCTTGGAATCACGGGAGCGCGGATTCATAGTTTTTGTTACGTGGGAAGGTTGCACCAGGAGACCGGACCCATTGTTTTTGACGAGGGATCGTGACCTCCGGGGCGCGGCTCTATAGGCTTTTACGAGGGATAGTGGCGGCGGGAGCGTGGACCCATAGTTTTGGACAAGGGAAAGGGAGGAGCAGTGCACAGGGAAATCTGCTGGGAGAGGGGAGGTCCATCAGAAGGCTTACAGAAGCCCTACCAGCACCTTGTATTTTGCCACGCCTCAACGTGCCAGGGCATGGTGGCGGATCTGTCCACAGCGTGCCATGAAGGCAGAACGGCAGGGGTTGAACTGCCACCAATTATTGCGAGTCTGCTGCGCAGGACGTAGCGGACCGTCGCCCCAACATCCACAACGCAGCAGGGTGTCTGCGTGCAGTATGGGAGAATCCTTTGAGCCGTACCTTGCAAGAATAGCTATGCTGCTCGCTAACGAGTCATATGTTGTAGAGGCCTCCGGCTGTGCCGCCGATCTGGGACGCTCCGGGACGCACTGTGCAAATTCGTTTTGCTTTCTATGTTTCGATGTTTGTTTCGAGGAGGCAAGAGGGGGAATCAGAGGAGGAGGGGGGTGTTGGCAGTCGCCTTAGTCAGTCTGTGTTGGATGGAATATGTTCCTCGTGTCTGTCTGTCGAGCTTGTTAGCGGGCTAGTTCTCCGACGGGTTGGTGTAAATGTTTCATCATTTTGCTCCTTCCCTTCCTTTCTATCTTCTCTTATTTGGTGGCCTTCAGCCCATCCCGCCACCGTGCCTGGGCTGTGGGCCCGAGGCTTGTTGGAGGTTCGTTGGGGTCTCGTGGGAAGCTTCTCCAGGGCCTTCTAGCAGGCAATTTTGAAGCCTCTTGGGGGCAGTCTGGGAGCCTCTTTTGGGCCTCTTGGGGGCCTCGTGGGGGCCTCTTTGGGGTCTCTTGGGGGCCTCTTGGGGGCCTTTTAGAGGCCCCTTGGGGCCTCTCGGGGGCCTCTTGGGGCTTTGTGCGGGCATTTCGGGGCGGAAGGCGCGAATCGTCGGTTCGTGTGCCCATTCCTGGGCCCCTCCAGGGGCCGTCCTGGAGACATCATGGGGCGTTTTGTGCTCCTGACTATTGGGGTCCTCGTGGGTTGTCTTGGGGCGGTCTTGGGGCCTCTTGGGCCGTCTTGGAGCGTTGGCAACTCAAACAGGCCAGAACCCCCAAACATTGCAACACCTAATTAAGGGTAGCGAATAATGTGTGCCTCTTGGGTCCTCTGAGAGCGCTCTTGTAGCCTCTTTGGGGCCTCTTGGTCCGTCGTGGAGCCGTTTTGGGCGTGTAGGAGCTCTCTTGGGCCGTCTTGGCGGCCTCGGCGGCGTTGCCGCCCCACCCTCCCCCTTTCCCCGGCCAAGCCGCCCTGGCACTCTTCCTCCTGCGGCGCGGGAGCGGCTTTGGAATTTGCAGACATTCCCCCCCTGCCCCCCTTTCTTGGCAGAGCCCCTCTCCGCCCCCCCCCTCAGCAGAGCTGAAGCTCAGGCTGTAGCTATTTGAAACTCACACGCCGGATCGGCGTATTTGGGAAGATCCTGGGAGCCGAACGTTGCAAGGAAACCGCGCTGCTCGCTAATGGGGCATACATGTCTCAGACAAAGAAGAAGGAAACCACAATGATCAGGTGATGATGTGAGCTGCCCGTGAGGCACGACGCCTTACGACTCCAGGGCGCCCCGTCGCTTTTTGCTTTCTGTGATGCGCGCCGAAAGTTGCTCACGGGGGATGGTCGGGATGCTTGCTGCCTCGCGACTCCCTTTTGCTGCGGTGCCGCCCGGGTCTACGGGGCGCCGGCCCGGCGCGGGCCCTCGCCAGCCATGGCCGCGCCGCCGCAGAAGCGGCCCCGTGCGGCCGCGGGGCGCCGTCGCCGCAGCGACCTCCCCGAGCGGCCCCGCTGCAACCCAGAGCAGCCGGGGCCTGTCGGGTCGGCCGGGGCCCGCTTGTGGCGGGCGGCGGAGGGGCAGGACCCGGACGTGCTGTGGCCCGGGGCCCGGGGCCTTGAGCTCCTGAGCGGCCTCGCAGCGGCGGTCCCGAGCCGGGGCCCCGCCGGGGCTTTCGCAGGGGAGCACCAGGCTCGGCGGGCCCACAATGCGCAAGCTCCCCGTACTGCAGCGCAGCCTGGCGATTCGCCGCCGTGCGCGGCTCCGGCGGTAGCCGCCGACGCGGCGGTCTGGAGCTGGAGCGGCCTCGCGGCGGGCCTGAACCAAGATTTGCGGGAGCGGGCGAGGCCCACCAGCCGCGGGCGGCTGGGGTTGCAGATGAGGCCCCAGAGCTCTGGGGCCCTCGAGGCGCGCAGGGGCTCCAGCGCTGGGGAGGCCATCGAGTTCGAGGAGGCGAGGGAATGGAGGAAGAGCGTGTTGTTGCCCTGCCAGCCCTCGGGGCTGAAGCGATTCGGCTCGCCGCCCCGCCAGCGCGGAGACGACGGGGGCGAGGCTGCTGGGAGGCGCCCCGCCACCGCCGCACCGCTACGCGCCTCACCGCCCCGCCAGCGTGGAGGGGCCCAGCTCGAGGCTGCCGAGAGGCGCCCCGCCACCGCCGCACCAGGATGCGCCTCGTCGACCCGCCAGCGTGGGGGCGCCCAGCGCGAGGTTGCCGGGAGGCGCACCGCCGCGCCGCGAGGCGCTTCGCTGCCCCGCCATTCTGGACGCCCGAGATGGGCACGGAAAGAATGGGTACGATGTCCAACAGCAGTTCCTGTTCATTCTGAACAGGATTCGCTGTCCACGCCGCCGCGGCCTGTGTCCATTCGAGACAGAAGGCCGCCTGCCCAACAGCGGCCGCTGTTGGTTTGGGACAACATTTGTTGTTGGGCATTGTACCCATTCTTTCGGTACACATTTCGGGTGTCCAAAGCCATCGCGCAGGCGCCCACCGCGAGGCTGCTGGGAGGCGCCCGGCCACCGCCGCGCCGCGAGGTGCCTCGGCGCCCCGCGCGAAGCAGCCAACCGCGGAGCCGTTGCTTTTCGGATCGGCGCCAGGGCCAGAGGTGCAAGACGCGTCCAGTGCATGGCAGGCCCATGTGCTCAGGAAGGGGGCGGCTCTGTTCGACGCCGCGGCGGCCGCGCAGCCGGCGCCGAGGCGGCAAGACTGCGGCGGCCAGGGCCAGGGCCCGGAGAGGCGGAGGGGCAAGCGCTCGAACACCGCCGAGGCGCTGAAGGTCGCGAGGGAGGCGCTGAGTACCCAGCACGCGGCGATGCTGGGCGGCGAGCCCGAGACGCCGCCCGCGGGGGCCGCCGTGGCCAGGGAGGACCTCGGCGACGCGGCAAGCCAGCGGAGGGCGGCGGCGGCGAGCGCGCTGAAGGCGGCGCTGGCGCCGCCGAGGGCGGCGGCGGCGCCGGCGCGGGCGCCGCCGCGGTGCGCCTCGGCCAGCGTCCCTGCCTTTGCGCAACAGCGGCCCACAAGGCTGGCGTCGCCGCAGCGGCGCGGTGCGGTCGCCTGGGCCCCCCGCGGCGCGGCGGCTACACCGACGGGCGGCGCGGCCGTGCTGGCGCTGCCCGGCGAGGACGCGGCGACGGCGGTGGCCTGGAACGCGTCGCACATGCCCGCGTTGAGGGAGGTTGAGGTGCCCGAGGATCGGAGGGTAACAGACACAGGCATGCCCGTGCCGTAAACAAAAACACGACGGAATGTTTTTAATCGTTTTCGGCCTCGGGGGGCCTTCGCCCAGAGTCCAGATGCCAAAGAGCGCGGTTTTTAAGTCATGGTGGCTCTTAAGAGTGTTCGCGCGTCCTGCTTCTGATCGCCCCACGCCTTCGGCGTCGTCGTCGAGTTGTTTGGTTCCCTCCTCCTCCTCCTCCTCCGCCTCCGCATATCTCCGCACCCGCGACATTCTCCTCCGCGCCCTCGCCCTCCTCCTTCTCCTCCTCCTCCTCCTCCTCCTCTGCCTTCTCCTTATAGATAACCTTCCCTTGTCGCACCCTGAGGCCAGTTTTTGACGGGAAACGCGCTAAGATTCAAAGAGTCGCGCGATGGACGCTCTCTCGGCCAGAGGCAGTATCAACTGGGGGGGGTCTGGGGGGGGAACGCGCGGCGCCGCCTCGTGGTCGGGGACCTGGCG